AGCAGTGCGAACCTTGTTGTGTTTCAGCAGGCTCTCGCTGGTGTGTTTCTGCCCGTCCCATTTGGAGCTGGCTCTGTTTCTGAGTATTGACTTCTTGGTCAAGGTTTTTCACCAGAAATGGTTATAACTGTGTGGTTGCAAACATGAAGCCTCCATCTTACCCTCGTCTATTTTTTTTGGTTAGCCCAGGCGTGGGCAAACTTTTTGAGCCGCGGGCCACAGTTGTCCTAAAATTGAACTGGCGAGTGTTGGTGTGAGTTAAGAAAAATGACATGTAAAAGTCATGCATAAAGGCTAAAATGCTAAAAGGTTTTTTTTTATCATTTTCTACGTCCTCTATTGGGGAAATGTGGGTATTGCAGGGAAAAGGCAGAAGTATATTAATAATATTAATAGTTTAATAGTTAATAGTTAATAGTTAATAGTTTGGGTTAGAACTATAATCTACTACATGTAAATCCGACTTTTTCATAAACACACACACACATATATGCATGCAAGTGTACATGTATATATAAATATATGCAAAATAAACAATAAAAACAATACACACAAAACAGTGAATGTAATTGACATGTAAGTGCTGTTAAGTATGTAGTATGTTCTATTACTCCTGTTTTCTTTGTGATTATTTTCTAATTTTATATTCGTGAAAATTATCAGTCTGTTGTTGCTGTTGCTTGTTATCCAATTACAGTGCAAGTTCGAGTTCTGTTAGCTTAAAGAGCTCAAATAAACACAAAACATAACGTTTACATAATATCCTCTATCACTACTAATTACACACAACGTTTACATAATATCCTCTATCACTATAGGAGTATCACAATAGGAATAAAGAATTAAGCATATCTCTCAAGAGTTTAAAGTACTTCAAGTTACTGAAAACCCAGTACGGCCCCGACAGAATTCGTTTTGCGCCTAATATAGCTTCATTACTAATAACACGCCATACCAATGGGTGGCGGTATTGTACTCAAACGATGTTTGCAAACCTTCATGAATGCCACCGGAAGACGAAGCAGTTAACCGAGACACAGTAGTTGCCATGTCCGCCTATTAAGGGATTGTTTCCATATGAATTCAGTTGAAAATAGCGAAACGTTTTGCCTTTATTGGCCAGCGTTGGCTTACTCTTGTTTGTCCTGTTTCTAATTAATGTATGTTTGTCCAATCGCAGCATTTGCCATCTATAAAACAAAACATACATGAGGTAAAAAAATCAAGAATTGTTCTTAAATGTTTTTAAAATAAAATCCTAAAGCATGCAAACAAACACCTATGTATTGAACGTCTGCTAAAATGCCTAAAAAACTGAATTATATATGTCACTTCACTTTTGTGAAAATCATATAAAAAGGGAATACGTTTGTAAATATACATTATTAAAATGTGTAAGTCACTGATAAGAAGTTTCTTAAATAACGTTTAACGAACTGGTTTAGGTTCACTTTCAATTCAAAGAACTTGAAACAAAATTGTAAAATAACAGTGTTTTGAAAAAAAATTAATTAACAGTACATGCCTGAAAAATGTACTAATGTGTATAACTTAATTAAATGAGTCGCTTTTTTTTTTGGTCTTGTTTTGTTGTCCTGGGTGCTTGTTTCTCATGCGAGATCTGGCAACACTGGCAGGAACCATAACTGCAGAAACGTCTTTCTCCTTGCAACGTTTTCAGGTTACAGGCGTGTGTACATGTAAAACGAGGACCGAAAGATGCCTTTACCCGTACAAGTTTTCAACTTTCAAGTGAGTCACATCAGATACTGCATTATATTGGTTACAACAGCAGCGTTTGTGGGGAATATTTAGGATTGGAACCAGCCGATCAACAACAGCTAGCGATAGCTTGCTAGCTTACCAAGCTAAGGCAGTGACAACTTATGTTTTGATTGTGGAGCATTCTGGTTTTTATAGTGTTGAGTCATGCAAATGTCGTATTAATAAGTGACAGTTGATGGCTCGTGGTATGAATTTATTGTTAAAATCATTAGAAATCTTAATAATAAAATAAAATTTTGGAATAGTAAACGCTTTAACTAATGTCAAAATCACGTGTATATAGACCGGAAGCCTAAATAACGAGCCCTGTTTCATGTCAACAAATTAAAGAATTCCAAGACAATGTGATACATGTAGTTTTTACCAAGTCGACAGGCGATTTACGTAGAATAAATATTGACAGCTTAGTCAAACCAGGGAGTTGTGCGCATTCTAAACAGCGCGGTTCATGACCCCACATGCAAAATAAAAATGGAAATTAAGGCGTAATTATAATTTATAGATATGTTATTCAAGTGCGTGATTAAAGGAATTGGAAAAGATTAGCATTTGCATTTACTGTAAATATTACTTGATACATTTTTATTGATATTTGTTGTCGATATATTTTGATATACTTGGTGTTAACAAACATTAATATTTAAATATTTCCTTAAACTACAACTAAAAAAATACTTTATATCAGCTCGGTTTTCTGATTTTATATTCTGAGGTATTTATCATAGTCTATATTAGGGAACTAATCTGCTAAGGAAAGAATATATATTTAATAATTGGGAACGGCAATGCTGTTCCATAAATTGTAACATCCATAAAATCACGTTTTATATGTCTTTTTTTTTTTTTTTTTTTCAGGGATCTGTCGAACCTATGCAGATTGATGCAGACCCACAGGAAGACCAGCAGAATGCTCCGGACACAAACTATATTGTGGAGAACCCAACACTGGTACACTACTGTCACTTTCTTATTTATGTTGCACAACCATATGTATCCCAACACAATGTTTATTAATAATAATCTAAAAAAACAACAACAACTGTCATTTGTATTATCTCACGTAAATGAACTTAAGGTTTGAGATAAAACATCTTTTGAGATCTAAACACTTAAGTTACGATTCGGATATCAACCAATACCGATATATGCAGCTGTTATCCCCCAAAACTGCGGTAAACGTCTCAAGGACTCCACGAGTGATTCCAGTATATTTGACATTGCGTTTTTATTATCAGAGGATAAACCCGATAATGATTCTTTCAGATATCATATTGGTCGGACAGTTTCATCAGACATCTTCTTTCCTTCCTTTTTGTCGTGCAGGACCTGGAGCAGTATGCAACCAGCTACAGTGGACTGATGCGCATAGAGAGGCTTCAGTTCATTGCTGAGCACTGCCCTCAGCTCCGAGTGGAAGCCTTAAAAATGGCCCTTACTTTTGTCCAGAGGACCTTCAATGTTGACACTTACGAAGAAATCCATCGCAAACTAACGGAGGCCATAAGGTATGGTGGACCAGTAATTCCCGGCTAATCTTTGCAGGTTTGCCGGTTGGTAACGCTTTTTACAGAGCTTATGTATGTTGCTTTTGCTCTGCCATTGATTAACGGATGGAATGGATACCCATAATGCTTCTAAACATTTAAAAGAGGTAACATTATCTATGTCAGTGGTTCCCAAACTCGGCTTGCCTTTGGGCAGTACATCTCAAATAGTAATGTTTTTTTTTTCATGTTGAAATACAACGGTTATTATTCCCTAATATAAATTGTTTTTTTTTTTTGTTTTTTTTCTGTCTTAGGGAACAAGGTGTGCCCGATACAGTGCCTGAAGGTGGCATAATTCCTCCTCCCCTGGACTCAGCATGGGCCGAGTCCACCAGAAAGAAGGCTTTGCTAAAGCTGGAGAAACTCGACACAGATCTTAAGAACTACAAGGGCAACTCTATTAAAGAAAGCATCAGGTATTATTGTGGAATTTGTGTTGCTCGTTTACAATTTCTTTTTTATATATATATATATATATTTTAGCCTGACTCCTTTGTGTTGGTTTGATATCACACTATGGCCAGCGAAACAACTGACATCTTCAATTTCCTATCTCTCGTTCTTATCAACCAGGAGAGGCCATGATGACTTGGGTGACCATTACCTCGACTGTGGTGACCTCAGCAACGCCCTCAAATGTTATTCTCGAGCCAGAGATTATTGCACGAGCGCCAAGCATGTCATTAACATGTGTCTGAATGTCATCAAGGTACTGCTGAATTTATTTTTTTTACTTTTTTTTTTTTCGTATCACAAACTACAGGTATATCTGTTTTTATTAGACTCTAAGAATTCTTACTATAAACTATTTCTCAACTTGAGGAATACATCATTTTCTATACCCTTTAAGGTCCTTGCTGGTGAGTTTCTTCACCTGATAAATTAAAAAAATAAAATGCTATAATAAATAATAATAATAATAATAATCCATTGCAAAAACATGTATTATTATGTTAAGGAGTAGTTACAGCTATACAGTCTTACAGTTACAACTGGCCCTTTAAGGGGGACTGAGTTTGACACCCCTGATGTAGGGGTTTTTGCAGCACAATATGGTGTATATATATGGTCACCATATATATGTATATATATGTATATGTATATATGTATATGTATATGTATATGTATGTATATGTATGTATATATATATGTATATATGTATGTGTATATATGTGTATGTGTGTATATATATATATACACATATATGTATATATATACATACATATGTGTGTGTATATATACACATATATTAATAAATATATATATATAACAAGCTAACAGCACAGAGCAGACTGAAGTCAGTCTTTAGACCTCTCTCACAAACTGCACATAGGACTGACAAACTGCTGTCAATAAAAAAATATTGTAAATAAATCTTAAACACTTCTTCCAATCATCAAGCTAAAGCCCAGTTTTCATGCCCACTCACTGCTCAGTATAATATATATGGTCACCATTTATGGTAAGTATCTCATCCCAGCAACAGTGTACCGTAGCTTTTAAATTTTGCTCTGGTTTATATTTTTCACAGCTATGTGTATGGCTTTTTATGAATTTATCAAGAATCAGACAGTTGGTGCTGCATTTCTTAAGAATAATCATACATAAAATAATAATTAATTAATAGTAACAAGGGCACCATTAAGATGTGAAAACCCTGTAAACAAATGGTTAAACAAAGCTCAACAGTGAAAGTAAGCATTAATTGACCTTTAAACTGGAAGGGAGAAATTTGCCATATTTTTTTTAAAACACCAAGGACAAAGTTATTATTTGTCAACTCCCCTTTACTGGCCTGTAGGTGGTGCTAAGTATGCATTTTATGGCTGGTCTAGGAGAGAATTTCTTTTGTCCATTATTTATTATCCACGATAAACAAGGCCAACATTAAGGTGATTAGTGATCGTCCACGGGATATAAGATGTTTATTACAGAAGTGCCCTTCACACGTTAAAGGTTAGAGCAACAGCAAACGCAACTTTTATTCTCTCCTCCACATTAATTTAAAAGTTCAACTTAACCCCCACGAAACGCTCCATCTCGGCGCGTCTTTGGGCTGCGTGTTTTCCCCCGGCTAGATATATATTAAGATGGCGATATCTAGAGGACATCGTGTGAACTTTGTCTGTGCACATAAATAAGTGTGACATTACAGGGAGTAGGTAGAATCCTTAGTAAATAAACGTAGAGTCCTTGATATGCTGTAACACTAAAAATGATCGATGGAATTCTATTTTATAAAAAAAAAAAAAAAAACACCACCCAAAAAAAAAAAAAAATGGTATGAAACCAACCATACTACAAGTTACAACGTTTGCAGAATATCTTGAAGTAAAAAAAAAAAAATGGAATTATAATGGTGTACAACAGCAGGTTTTAGCCAAACATGGAAAGGATGGACTTCCTCTTTACCAAACTGATCCCCTCTCCTCTTGGTCAACAGGTTAGCGTTTACCTCCAAAACTGGTCCCACGTCCTTAGCTATGTCAACAAAGCCGAATCCACACCAGAGATTGCAGAGGTTAGTATCTTCATATTTGTGTGTATGCAGGTCTTTGGACAAGGAGCACTGTGGCTACTGTGAATGAATTTTTAATTTTATCAGCAAGAAATCTAAGGGAAACGCATCGGTTTTTTTTTTTTTTTTTTTTTTTTTTTTTAATATTTATCGGCACCTCAACATCTGTTAACTGCATTATGTTCATGCATACGTGCTTTTAAAATATTTTTGGATTTTTAACTTAGGCTGTCATAATGAAAGCCTAAAGCCTATAAAAATTATTAAAATTATGTTTACATTTTTAAACGTTTGAATGCACACGCAGAATGACACAGATCACAAAAAAAAAAAAAACTGGTGTGAAATATTAAAATCTACCTGCTGTCTTTTGGCCTTCTGTAACAGTGATTACAAAAAGGAATTTTGATTTTAGGAATGTTGATTATTCATATTATGACTTATTATATTATTTATGATATCAAACAGGGGCATAAAAAAATCGGATTACTTGTTTATTCAACCATTTTGTTTTTACTCCCCTGCAGTATCTCTGTTGACCTGTTGGGGGGGGGGGGCTCAAAACCCCTGTTAAAGTTTTTTGCTCTTAGACACAATTTGGGCTTCTGACTAAGTTTTATTGTGCCTTAAAACTTTACTCAGGATGACCCAATGAAATGACCCCATTCTCTGTTGTGATCCAAAGAAAAACTCAAGCGAACACAAACCAAGCATAAATATGGAAGGCTACGGTTTATTAAAAAAAAAAAATCAGACTTGTAACAGAAAAATTACGTTTTTAAATTTCTTTAAAAAAAATTTTTTTCCCTGTTGTTGTTTTATAGCAAAGAGGCGAACGAGACAGTCAGAATCAAGCAGTTCTCACTAAATTGCGCTGCGCTGCAGGTAAGGCAACATTACGTTTGCTCAGCTAGCTAAAAGCTGGTCTGTATACTAATTACTACTATTAATTATGTTTGACTATATAGGTAAGGCAATCGGACTCTTTTGGTTTTTTGCAATAAATTATTTAGCAATAATTTTGTGATCACCAGGGTTAAAGTATGGGGGCAGGGGGGGTTATGTGTAAGGCTACTAGCCTTACGAGGCTAAATACCGATCAGTACGAATTGAAGAAGCCTTTTGGGCGAGGTTCTGAAGCATCTTCAAGAAACCAAGACTAGTCTAGTTGCCCTCTACTGCTTCGAATATATATTTATAGCAATAGAAAATATTTTAGTCATGAACGTTGTCTCAAATATTTTCAGCCTAATTCTGTTCGTTTGCATTAAAGGGCTCGCAGAGTTGGCCTCCCGAAAATACAAACCAGCTGCCAAGTGCTTCCTTCAGGCGTCGTTCGACCACTGTGACTGTCCCGAGGTGAATCAGTATGCGGTTATCGCAATTTAAACACATTTGCAAAAATACTTTTGATGCACCTACCCATCCTTTGCCTTCACACCACACCCATGCTTCGGACATGGCCAACAACAAAAAACAACAAAGAGAAAAATATTTGAGAGCTTTGAACCTGAGATACAGTTTGTGCAAATGTTCAAAACAAACCATATGTTTAAAAAAAAAAAAAAAAAAAAAAGGTTAACTGTGAACCGTACTAACACTATGTGTTGGTGTGAAAATAACGAGCCTAGAGTGCCCTCTAGCGGCTGTCAGTGAAAATAACACGTGTAAATTTTCAGTAGTAGCAGATACTGCTACACAAGTCTAGAGTGCCCTCTAGCGGCTGTCAGTGTGAAAATAAGAAACATTTGAAATTGTCTATTTTAATATGTAAGTCACACCTGAGTATAAGTCCCAAGCCTAGCCCCAAAAAATGAAAAACAATGCGGGAAAAAAAATAATAATTCTAGTCCGGAAAATGTGGTCGTTTTTAAGGCAAAGGGTGGCTGCACTAAATATAAGTCAATTTAAAACTGTATTTGTGTGTATGTGTGTGTGTGTTTGCGCATGTGCACAGCTTCTCTCATCCAACAATGTTGCTGTGTATGGGGGCCTGTGCGCTTTGGCCACATTTGATCGACAGGAGCTCCAGCGTAATGTCATCTCAAGCAGGTAAGAATGTGGTTTGTCTAAAGCAGGGGTGTCAAACAGTACAATCATAAAATAATTAACATAAATAACAATAGGTCCATGTTTTTTACCTTTGTTTTCAGGCAAAGAAGTACAAGTATATTCGATATTTTTTATATTTATTAATATGTAATGAAACAAAGTATAAGTTTGTGTATTTCAAAATTCGTCAGGCGGCCTGAAATGCACACCTTGGCCGGCCGGTTTTTGGCCCACAGGCCTTATGTTTGACAGCCCCCGGTCCATAGGGATGTCAGTGCAAACACAACATGCAGATGCGTATCCTTCTCATCTTGTTTGCCCTCAGCTCCTTCAAGTTATTTCTAGAGTTGGAACCCCAGATTCGTGACATCATCTTCAAATTCTACGAGTCCAAGTATGCGTCCTGTCTGAAGTTGCTTGATGAAATGAAGGTTTGAGCACATGGTTGAAAGCATGTTGAGATGTGACTTCAGATGTGTTTGCAGCCAGCTGACCGATTGTCGTGTCTATTTGCAGGACAACCTACTGCTCGACATGTTCCTGGCCCCGCATGTGAGGACACTTTACTGCCAGATCAGAAACAGAGCCCTAATTCAGGTAGAACCTACGACAACAGTCACAACAGTTTGAAATTCTAATAAATTATTTGGTAACTGGTTTTCCTCTAACTTCAACAAAAGCATCATTTCCTTTCGTTTATTAATATTGGCAAGCTAATATTTTTATGCAAATCTTGATTTATTTATTTATTTTTTTGGTGTGTGTGTGTGTGCGTGTGTTGGGATGCTTGTGTTTAGTACTTTAGTCCCTATGTCTCGGCAGACATGACTAAAATGGCTCAAGCCTTCAATACCACCGTAGCGGCTCTGGAAGACGAACTAACCCAGCTCATACTCGAGGGACTTATCAATGCACGGATCGATTCTCACAGTAAGGTAAGTGACGCACAGGTTTTTTTTTTACATTTTTCATATTGTGCTGATACTCCTTTCAGATAGGACTGTTGACTTTCTGTCCGTCCGCTGCCTCATTCTCCAAGTCGACACATTCACAGCTTTTGCTTAAAACGTAACGTGAAATTTAACCATTATTTAGTAACGACGCAGCCTCATACTATAGTAGTAGTAGTAAAGCATAGTAAATTACTATAACGTGTATATAACATGGGTAAAATTTAAACAATCAAAATATTTGGAAACAGAAATGTGTCTCTGTCAATTACAAGTGAATACTGTATTTTCCAGACTGTAAGCACTGTCCGCACTTTTTTTTTTTTTCTCCATCCTTTGGCTGGGTTTGCAACGTATACTCAGGTGCGACTTATATATATTAAAATATATAATTTCACATGTTTGCTATTTTTACATTGACAGCCGCTAGAGGGCACTCTAGGCTTGTCTACCAGTATCTGCTACTCTTGTAGCACTGAAAATGTACATGTTAGTTAGTTTAACACTGACAGCCGCTAGAGGGCACTCCACCTGGCTGGTGCGACTTATACTCCAGACCTTCTTATACTGTATATGTTTTTTGTTCTTTATTATGCTTCTTTTTTTTTGGCTTGCGCGATATACTCTGGAGAGACTTATAGTCCAGAAAATATATATTGTATATTGAGTCACCAAATCTTTTTTTTTTTTTTTTACATAAAAATATTTTTTTTGTTTATATAGTAAAATAACAATAACAACTTTCGCTTTATACCATAATATTAGCTATGCTCCTTCAAAAGAAAAAAAAAAGCCAATTAAAAACCCCGGTTATACAAATGTAGAGATGAACTCCATTCGAATAGCTTTTTTGTTAAAAGTTCGAAATTGCGCTGATTTCATTGTTAGCGTTAGCTTAAACTATGTAAACTAAGTAAAGTAGAACGATAGCAACAAACCTATCCTAAAACTACATGTTAATAAACTCACCATGACACCATGCGTACAAAGTTTCAGTTTTGTTTTTGTAAACAAATGATTACGGAAGATAGATATAACGAATTAATTCCCTGACTTCTTCTGATCTTTAGATCCTCTATGCCGAGGTGGTGGATCAAAGAAGCACCACATTTGAGAAGTCACTTCACATGGGAAAGGAGTTCCAAAGACGAGCCAAAGCCATGATTCTGCGAGCCGCTGTGCTGCGCAACCAGATCCATGTCAAAGTAAAAAAAAATTTTTTTTTTTCTTCTTTGCAGTTTGACAAGTTATTGGTATTAGCTTGCGTGCCCTACTGGCAGTCCCCAAAGCCATCGAGGGTGACTCTCCCCACACCATAAAGTGATGAACAAAACAAAAAAAAAATAAACATCAAATAATAATGTTAGACAGAAATATATAGATAAATATATACTGGTACATTTAATATAATTTTACGGGCCAATTTAATTACACCGTGGGCCAGAGTTTGACACGTGTGTCCTCCAGAGACCCTATAAATACATGTTGACCTCTGTACCCACTCAAATTTTGTCTGAAATTGACAGAATGTTGTTGTTGGCAGAAGGACATTTAAAAACCAGTGAATTGATTTACTTCTGAATCAGTACAAAAAGTACTATATTTTGACAGTTTTATGGTCTGGGCAGTGTTTATTATCACTCAATGGCTTGGTTTGAATTCGATTGAAATATATATTTTTGTTTTTTACAGTATAGATTTGATAAGATTTGATCAGAGATGAAAGATGTAGATTTTGTTAAATGGTGGTAATATGACTGTTGCCATAGAAACCTTCTTGAAGAAATAGATGGATGGCTCTAGGATATAGGGTGTAGTCTAAATTCTATGTCTAAATTTAAAATAAAAACATTTGTACATTGAGCTGTAGTCACTGTTCATTCATTTATATACATGAAATCTTCCATTTCCTTCTAGTCTCCACCAAGAGAGGGAAGCCAGGG